GAGAAAGAAGCACCTCTCAGTAGGGCCTGGTTATGTCATGATCTTTGTCCCCATCCTGTCAGGCTCGTGGGCACTCATGCACTCCTGGGGTGTTTTTTGTTTGTTTGTTCGTTTGTTTTAACTATTTATTTATTTAATTCCATTTGTTATTATTGTTATTGTCATTATTATTTTAATTTAATCAGAGAGAGACAAAGAGAGAAAGGGGAAAGCGAGAGAGCAAGTTGCCAGGTCCAGGACTCCAGCCACAGTCGGCCCTATGGAAATGCAGCTCCCCTAACCACCACGCCACCTGCTGGCCTCCCTGGGCTGTTTTACAAGCTGCTGGGGCCAGGACGCAAAGCAGGCAGCTCTGCAGTGCTTACTTGCTGCATGGTCGGGTGGCCCTATTTTTTTTTTTAAAGAATTATTTATTTAATTTTATATGTTCATTCACCTGTTTTGACCAGAGAGAGACAGAGAGAGAAAGGGAAAGTGAGAAAGCAAGCCACCAGGTCCAGGACTCAAACCACGATTGACCATGTGGGAGTGTCTAGCGCCTTAACCACCACGCCACCTGCTGGTCCCCCTATTTTGGTTTTGAAGGTTGTAAAGGCCTTGGGTTGTGGGAAGGTGGAGAAGCCACTGGGGAGGAACCCACTGGTAAATGAGAAAGCCACTCCCTTGTGGGGAAGAGCCTGAGGGTACTAGTAAGAACGCCAGGCCAGGCGGGTCGGCAGGGCCTTTCAGACCTCGGTGAGGAGCAGGAGGGGAGAGGATGCAGCCAGAAGGGGTGGCAGGGAGCAATCTGAATAGACACAGGAGGAGAAGCTGAACCGTGGGGAAGAGGGAGGACAGTCGCCAAGCCAGGGCATGTCGGCCTGGGGCAGAGGCCCAGACCCGGCCGGAGACCCTGCTTTGGAGCGACATCAGTCTGAGCTATGCTGGGAGTCTCTTGCCCCGAAGAGCAACCCTGCCTCCGGTCACCCCAGTCCTATGCTCAGTAAATCCTCCATCCGAGTGACCCGCAGACGAGAGAAGCAACAGCACCCCCCTCGACCGTTTCCTGGGATGAGCTTCATGTGGTCTGTCCTTGGTGGAGATGTCAGATCCTGTTCTTCACAGTGGCCTTTGAGTGATGGTGACACCTAATTTTCTGAGGCAGCCAGGATCAGGCTGGACATGGAAGGAGCTGCTGGGTCAGGCTGGAGGAAAGGCAGATAGTGAGTTTATTTTAAACCCAAGAGGGCACTGCAGCTGCCAGTGAGAAGCAGACGGCTCTCGGGAGAGCGGGGATCGGCAGCCAGTCAGACACTTGTCAGGAGCCCGCAGGCTGCCAAGCAGGCAGGGGTTCAGGTGGCCAAAGGCCAGGGCTGCGCAGGCATGAGGGGCCAGGCGTGGGGAGGACAGCCGTTAACACTCCCGAGTCAGGGCATGGAGGACAGCGCAGCTGGGTCATGACCCGCACGCCGGGCAACCCCGAGGCAGTGCAGATGACAGGGAGGGTCAGGCTCAGCGTCCATCTGGGGCCAGATGGACCTTGTGAATAGCTTTGCGAATGAGCACGGGACAGTCAGGAGTCTGCTCGGGCCTGTGCAGCCCCCGGTAGGAGGGGTGCTCTGTCAGCATCCCATGGAGCAGGTGGCATTTGGTCCCGAGGGCTGGCCTAGAACACGGTGTGACTGAGTGGAAGGCCATCGTGACCCCCTGCCTGGAAGACATTGTCCGTCCATGGCTTCACAGCCCAACAACCTCCCAAGGGCTCGGTCCAAGGCTCGGGTGATGACAGCCCCCTAAGGACCCCTGTGCTGCTGAAAGGGCTGCCAGGGCACATTTCAGGAGCTGTCACCAGGGCTGGGCTCTAGGCTATGATGCTGAGGCCCCTTGAGCCATGGCACTGACCGGCACTTGTTTCTGCCCTTGGCTTTGAACCCTAGGAGGCCCGAGAGCCCCGGCCAGGCCCTGCACAGAGCTCCCCAGGTTGGAGGGAGGCCTTTGGGAATCTTCGTCTGCACCGAGCTCCAGGCTGGGGCTGCTGGGCTGTCCTGCTGAGCTTTTGGAGAGGCTGACGGAGATCTTACAGTACTTCTGGCATGCTCCAGGGTCAGAGCTTTCAGGGGGAGGAAGAGCCAGGTCTCTCTCACTCTCACTCTCGGTTAAGTCACAATTCCCCAGGAGTGGACGTCATCCCAGCCCCTCTTTTGCTTTCTAGAAAGGCCTGTACCCACGGTTCCTCTGACCTTTAGTGAGGCACTGCCTGCTGTCCCGACCCCGTCTTTCCTGCTGTCGTGGCCTGCTTTCTTTTCCACTTTATGGCATCGGTTACAGCCACAGATAGCGACCGAGCACATGAAGTCCACATAGGCTTCCAGTGTAAAATATAGCCCCGATTCCAAAGGCTTTCATACAAACACCAGAAACAAAACAACAACGACAACAACCAAACCTCAGTAGTCGTGATTACATGTTGAAATGGGTCTATTTTAGATATATTGGATTTAAGAAAATACGTTATCTTTGGCTGCCCTTTTTTTTCATTATGGTTACTAGCTTAAACACATAGGTCGGGCCAGCCTGTGGCGTGGTGCTTACGGCAGCTGGATCGCACACAGCCAGCTGTGCAGCTGGAGTCCCAGACCCAGCAGCTTGGAAAATACCAGGTGCGTGTGCCTGTATGCCGTGCCCGAAATCCCAAAAGGAGGAAGAAATGGAGAAGGGGTTGTATTGACGATTTCCCCTGAAGGGTGTTTTCTCACTCTCTTTATCTGTCTCTGGCCAGCACCCATGCCCTCTGACAAAATTAAAAATAAAAAAACCCACGTAGGAGGGACCAGCAGTTAGCATAATGGCTATGTCGCTGGACTCCCATGTAGCCAACTGCAGTTCGAGTCCTGGACCTGGTGGCTTAAACTCACGCCGGGCACGTGTGCGTGCGTGCCCAAGATCCCGAGAGGAGAATGGAGGAGAAGGGATTGTGGCGTGGTCATCCCCCGGGGGGTGATTTCTCGTTTTCCATCTCTCTGTCTCTCTCTTTCTGGCAAGCGCACACACCCTATAGCAAAAACCTCTCCAAAAGAAAAAAAGAAAAAAAAAAAACTAAACCATTGTAGGTAGCGTACCTGGGTGGGCGGCTTTCTATTTTATTGGACCACAGTGGCCTAGACGGTGGGATGAAACATCACGAATTTATCATCATTCCTTCAACTCGGCAAGTAAACTTGCACCTGGCCGGGGCCGAGTGGGCTGGACGCTCCCAGCCCTCCATCCTGGCCACCTGTAATCCATGAGGGCCTACATCAGCCTGACAGAGGGAACTAGGGACTGAACTCTGCGGCCATGAGCTCGCCAGAAATCGTCACCAGCTGGGCACTGACGGTTTCAGCAGGGTGACTGGGAGCTGCCAGGGGCGTGAGCTTACCGAGGAGTTTCTGCTTCTGAAGAAACTTGTAACCTGGGAATTCCTGGCAACAGGCGGCCTGCACAGCAAGTTTCAAACTGCTGGTCCCACTCGGCTCTGTTGGGGAGCCATCCCTCCAAAGCTGCCCACTGCATGTTCTGAAGCCACAGCCAGGCCTTTCAGATGATCTGTGTGGACCAGATCGGATGCTCCACCCCAGCCTCAGGCTAGATCTCCAGACAGGCCGGTAGCTGGTACGCTGGCATCACAGGAGGGCCCGACTGTTTGTGTGCGCAGGCTTGGCCCCCACCCCCTCTTCTTCCCTCCCTCTCCTCCCAGGTAGTGCCTGGGCCTCCAGGGCTCGGCCTGAGCCAGGCGTTGGTGACCCTGCTGCACTCACCTGAGCCCTCCGTGGGCCCATCTGCCATGTACCTGTCAGAAGCCACACGTCACACTACTCAAAGGGACAGCTGTGTGGCACATCAAGCCAGGAACTGGGACCCGATCAGGGGTTAAGCTTCCCGAAGGAGGCTCCGAGAGGCAGAAGCAATGGAGAAAGTTAAAAATAGGGTCATCCAACTCGGGCCAGAAGACAAGGGCGGGCCTCGCCATCAGTGGGTGACTGATGGGCTTCGGCCCCCTGCACACCGAACTGGGGAGGTTGACCGTCTGCCGTGGGAGAGGTGGGGGTTAAATGCCCAGTGCCCTGGGGAGACGCCAGAGAATGGTGACCAGGCGTCTAAAGACGCGTACTGAGGCGGTCCTGGGAGTCCGGCCACCTGGGAATGGGCGATGATACTGGAGCGTCTAGTGCCAGTGCTCCCAGGACCCACCCTGAGGCTGCCCTTCTGTCCCCTGGGCCCTCCCAGTCCTTGGTTGTCCCGTCCCCCACCTCTTCCCCCACCCCCGTCCACAAGCCTGAGCCTGATGGCTCCCCCAGTCCTTCCTCGCCTCCCACACTGGGAGCCCCTCCAGGCACAAGCACTCAGGAGGGGAAGTCGGGAAGAACAACAGGTCCCGGACTCGCTCTCTGAGCTCGGGGCCTGGCCTTGCTCAGTGGGGCTAGCCCAAGGGGAGCGGGTGCCCGGGGCTGGACCGGGTAAGTTTGCCCAGCGTCCTGGCATCTTGGGAGGTGAAGAGACTTAGAGAAAGGAAGCTGGGGTTCCTGCCTTTCCATAATGCTTTCCTGCTCAGCTCACCTCTGGCTTGGCTGAGGCAGGGGTGGGGAGCCAGATCTCAGCTGGGGGCGCCACAGAAGTGGAAGGGCCCGGCCCCCACCAGGTCAGTGCCGGTTTCCTCTGAGTGGGGAAACTGCGCCCCTTCCTCCCAGCCCTGGGTGTTCACTTCCTGTCTCCAGGACCCAAGTCACAGGACCGTCACTCACAGAAAGGAGACACAGGGTTGGCGTGAGCTCCGTGGAAGCCCCTGATGTGATCTTTAATTGATGCTCCTGGCCCTTCCTCCCCACCCGAACCCCGGATGACCTATGTACAGGATGCTGTTTGGAGCCAGGTCCAGGCGGCGCAGCTTCCTCCACCCTGGGGTGGGCACTTGCCAGGGTGGGGCAGGAGGACGGAGACAGCTGGGAGCCAGGCTGGACTGGCCACAGGAAGTCTTGTTCTCACCCCTGTCCCCGCGTACACGTGCACACACAGACACGCCACGTGCATGGAGGTGCTCACACTCGTGCAGAGAAGTGGAGCCGGACGCAGCCCAGATGCACTGCTGCCCAAGTGTGTGTGTGCATGCCCGAGGGATGCCAAAGGTGTCGCCGCCAAAGTGCAAAACCCAGCATGCCCCCCTGCCCCGCCTCAGCCTGTGGGCCAGAGGGGCAGGACTGGCCAGAGGGCAGGGCCAGCTAGAGTTGTCACGAGGACCACAATAGCCATCCAGCCACCGGAGACTGTCAGAGGGCCCAGGTCCCAGTTTGCCTCTGAGGGTGGTATAGTGGGGAGATATTTTATCCACGGTTCCTCCTCAAGGATACCCCAGAGACAGGTAGCTCAAAGGCCCAGGGCTGTTCAGAAACCCCTGCCAAGTCTAGGTGGGTGTCCCTGGGGAAAGGGACTCCACTCATTTGTGGCTTTCATCCATAAGGTAGCTGGCCCCCACGGGCCCCAGTCAGCTAGCTAATAGGGTTGAGGAGCCAGGGTCACGGGAGAGGCCACAGGCAGGACTGAGGAGTCCTAGGGCCTCAGCCTGTGTTGGCTCGGCGGGGCGGGGAGCAGTGGAGGGTTAATGGGGAACGTCTGTAAACTCACTACTCAGCCCTGGAATGGGAGTGTGTGAAAAGGGCCTGACGGGCCTTGAGGACTTTTCCAGAAGTCTCGGGTCATCTTCGAAACTGCCCTTTCCTGCCTCCTTTTGCACATCCCAGGCAGAGCCCTCGCCCTCCAGGCACTGGCCACCTCTGGCCTCTGCTACTGCAGGAGTCCTCCCTGGGGAAGACAGCCCAGCCTGGGACCTCTGTTCCATACCAGGGGGCACCTAAACCCTGAGTCAGCCCCAGAATCACCCTTCTTGAAAGGGGGAAGGTGCCGTTTTCTTTTAGGGACTGTGTTTTCTAGGATCCCTCCATACATGTGTCCTGGCAGGGCCAGCAGGACGGTCATTTGGGAGTTGGAGACAATCTGGGACGTGGTGCCGTACCCATAGCCGAGGCCTTGGGCACGGCACAGGCAGCTTTGGTTTGAATCAGCGCTCGGACTTTTTCCAAGCTTAGCAGGGCTGGACCGAGGGGGCAGGCAGGATGCCTGGCCCCTGCCCGTGTTCAGGGACAGGATTCCAGGGTGATCATCCCAGGGCAGGGCCTGGGGGAGGCCACACCTTGGCTCCTCTGAGCCCTCCTGTAAATGCCAACACAGCCAACTGCTCTGGCCCCAGCACCTCCAAGGTTACATTCATCAGTTAAGAGTCATAAAAAACGTGAATGTCAGCCCCTTCTCCTAGGTCCCAGGGAGCTATGACCCTGGTTCCAGCTGCCTCGTTTAGAGGAAGGGCCATCCCAGGCCGGGTCTGCTGGTGGCTGCCTGCCCCAACCGGGGCTTCCCTCCAGGCCCGCCCCCGCTGGAGCTGTGGTGGTCTGTGATGGTGAAGCTACATTCACACAGGGAGAATTTGTGTGCAAGGCCAAAGCCGCAGGACGGGGGCGGGGACCGTGAAGGAAATGCCCTCCAGGTCGGTCCACCCTGGTGGTGTGAAGGGCAGGGCCACAGCCCCACAGCCCCTGTGCAGCCAGGAGTCGAAGGGTTTGGACCTGGAAGACATTTGCACGGTGCCTCCCTCCGTGGCTGGGTGGGGGCAGCCTCGTGGTTCAGGGCCGAGACGGTGGGTGCCAGGCTCGGAGGGAGGAGGGTGGCACTTAGGCCCCTCCGGACCTGGAATGGAGAGGGGGCATCAGGGGACAGTATGAGGCAGGGCCCAAGGGAGAGCCCTCCCCTCCTGCTGGGCCCCGGGAGGTCAGTGCTGGGCCCAGGAGGCGGCAAGTCACAGGCTGGCCAGGGAGGGGATCTGCAGGTCAGACAGCGGTGACATGGAAGACAAAACAGATGCAGACGCAGAGGGACGCTCCTTCCCAGGGAGTGGGGACTGCGAGGGCCAGCGCCGGGGTCCACCTGGCCAGCAGAAGGGCAGCAGTAGAGGAGCCACGGCCAGAGAGGACGTGTGGGCAAGAGGACGGTGAGGTTGTCACTCCATGGCGTGTCCCCCGCCCCTGCCGTGGCAGGCCCACAGCAGGGGCGGGGGAATCAGCCCCCAGCTCCCATCAACAGAATGCAGGTGACGGATGAGATGGAGGAGACAAGGACAGCGGGAGGGATGACGTGGCCGGCGTCACACTGCCCCCTGCTGGGTCGGGTCGTACCTTCCTCGGCGGATGTTTCTTCAGGAGCCAAGGAGAAGACAGGCAGAGGGAGAGAGAGAGAGAAGGGCCGTCTGACCTTCCCCTTCTCTCAGGGAGCGTCCCCTTCCCCCCTGCCTGGACACTAACAACAGGGCGAGGAGAGACACTGAGGAGACCTACCGAAAATGGGATCGAGTCCTGCAAGGGTCTGCCACTAACTCCCAGTGGGACCCTGGGCCTCAGCTTCCTCCTTTGCACATTGAGGGGTTTCGACAGCTCGAAACCCCAAACTCAGACACCTCAGAGGCTGGCAGACTAGGTGGGAGCTAGAGACGGAGCATACACATGCCCTGTCTCCGCTCTGTGGCCCCGCTGGGATAAGTCAAGGCACGTGGGGGCCCAGTCTTCGCAGCTTTCAAGAGAAGCTGGAAAATGGGGTTACTAACGTAAAATGTCCAGGTTTGCAGCGTGCGTGGCTGATAGTTCTGAATGTTAACACAAGACTCGGTGGGCTGGCTCGGACCCACGTGCGAGCTCGTGCTTGGCTGACCTCTCGGGGAGGCCCCCCGAGCTCCCGCGGTCAGGGGTCTGATCCTGAGGGTGTGAGGGGAGGGGCGGAGTCTTACTTAAATCCCCAGCCCGTGCCACCCAGGACGATGGCTGCAACCAGCACAGCCCCGGCGATGGAGCCGATGATGATGTTGGTGCCGCTGGGACCTGGGGAGGAGGGCAGGGCTCGGTTGGCGGGAACGGCCATGGAGAAGGGGAGACAGACCCGCCCTGGCCAGCTCTGGCCTCACCCTTGTATCTCTCGGTCTCCCCCGTGGGCGGGGCTGTGGGCAGGGGGTTGTGGATGCTGCAGTCTTTGCCGGTCCAGTCTGGCTGACAGATGCACTTCCCTTCGTTGCTGCAGACCTAGAGTCAGGGAGAGGGGAGAGGTGAGCAGGGGCCTGTCCCCTCTTGTAAGCCTCTCCCACTACCCCCAGTGTCCAGGCACCCACCCCGTGGTGGGAGCAGACCCGGCGCTCCCCGCTGCCCGGGCAGGTGCTGAAGTTGAAGGCAGAGGCCGGCAGGCAGCGGTGGTCCAGGCACAGCATGTTGGGCCCGCAGGCTGTGCCGTCCTCTACGTAGCTCAGATCCGAGCCGTCGGCCAGCTGCACGTGGCCTCCCCTAGGGAAACGGCACGGCCAGCTTCAGGCCCTGTCCCCTAAGCCAGCTCCCTTTCCCCAGCTCGCCCCCCGCCAGTACCTGCAGTCCAGTTCCTTGCCCTGGTGGTAGAAGGTGACACTGCTGATGTCTGCACCCAGGTCCCCCAGCCGAGGAGCTCCAGAGATGTTGACACAGAGGAGGAAGCCACAGAGCACATCCCTGTTGGGGCACGTGGAGACAGCCCCAAGTCTGACCTCAGGCCCACCCTGAGCTCTCGCCTGCCCTCGCCTTGCCATTGCTTTTCCACATCGTCTCCCACTGGGGTTCACAGGCTTCTCCTGTGAGAACCTGCTGCCTAGCTCTCAAAAAAGCTGACCTCCCACCCAGAGCTGGGAGGCCCAGAGGAGCCTCGGCTACTCACTGCTTATTGCACTGGACCCAGCCTGACCCCTTGCGTCCACAGTTCCCACGCTCCGTCCCCTCCACGTTCAGCTTCTCATAGCAGAAGCGGTCAGCAGCCGCTGTAGGGAGATGATGCCAGGCTTGTCCCGGCCCACCTGGGACCTCAGGCCTGCACCTCCAACACCTTGGTCTGATACCCATCTGGCTAGTCCCATGTCCTGGGAGCCACACATTTGATAGGAGGCATAGTCAGCTGGGGCCTTCCCCTCAGACGCTCCATTCTGGGTCCTCCCCACCCCCAGACAGACTCACCATGACCCCAAAGGGCCTGGCACTGCCGGTCCCGAGTTTTGCAGCGACCTCCATAGCAGCGGCCCTGAGGGATGGACCAACAGGAGGCAAGAGGCAGAGCAGGTGGTTGGTCAGAGCAGAGACAAGAAACTGTACCCAGCCCAGAGCGGGAGGGGCCCCCACGTGGCATACCTGTTCATGATCGCAGTAGTAACCATCCAATTTGTGCAGGTTAGGAGGGCACTGTGAAGAGAGGGGCGGGGCTGAGCAGAGCACCCTCAGGGAGGAACGCAGGGGTGCCAAGTGCTTCCCCACGAGGGGGCTCATGTGCGGGGGGGGGGAGGGGGGCTCTTCCCTACAGTGGAAAATTATTCCGAATTCCAAATTCTGTAGCCTCTCCGGGCTCCCTGAGTTTCTGCACCTACCTTGTTAGAGCTGGGAAAACTAAATGTCTGGCACATAATTAGGACCTAATGGATGTTACCTAATATCATCCACTCTGATCCCTAGCATCCACCAGGCACCGCGCCAGGCGCTGGGAATACCAGCCAGCCTGTAAACACTGGTTTAATGATCGAAGGAACAGAGCCAGGAGTCACGAAGAACTCCCTCTCTCTTAGATTGGGAAACGAGGGAATCAGCGGCCGGCGGCGCCAGCTGCGCAGCTGAGGGACGGAGCACAGGGACGTGAAGAGCAGTCGCCGGGCGGAGCCAAACGGATAGGTGTAAGGGTTGCCTCGGCCGGACCGGGCGGACCTGGCTCGAGTCCCCGGTGCAGGTCTCCGCGATGTCGCACTCGTTCACAGCTTCTCGGCAGGACACACCCCGCGGCTCGTACTAGGAGATGGATGCGTTCCTAGGCTCAGACAGCTTAGATACCTCGGCCCCGCCCTCTGCGTGGGACCCCACCACCCCTCGGCCGCTCACACCCCACTGAGCGTCCCCCCGCGCCCCGCCAGCTCTAGTTTCTGCCCGTAATCACTCTCTGCCGCTCCCGACCCCGCTCTCGTAGCCCCGCCTCCAACATCCCGCAGTTACTACATGCCCCGCCCCTTACCTCCATTGGTGCGTTCAAGCTAGGCCACGCCCCGGGACCCTAACCCCGCCTCTAACGGCCCCTCCTCCCTCCTTAACTCCAGCCTCTTATCCGCAGGCCTCCAACGGGTCCGCCTTCGTCTTGGCCCCGCCTCATCTCCGCCTCCCTGCGAGTCCTCACCTTGCAGCGGCGACAGCACAGCCCGTCGCTGCACATGGCGTCGTGAGTCAGGGTGCATTTCTTGCAGCAGTTGCCACCCGAGCGGCTGCATTCCTGAAGGACGCAGGGAGAAGCAGAGTAAAGGCAGGCGAGCCCTAATCCTCCCTGCTCGGACCCACCCTCGCGCTCACTTCGCGTCGCCGGCCCAACCTGGTGCCCACACGAGCCGCTCACCTGCACCGAGCCGCAGTCGCACTCCTCCCCTGCCTCCACAAAGCCGTTCCCGCACTCGGGGGGGTCTAGGAGCTAGACCGGGAGTGGGTGTCGGCAGTCTGGCGGGGGACTCTGCCCACGCCCCGCTCCCATGTTCTCTGTCCTGGGGGTGGTACCTTGAGGGGTTTGTTGAAGAGGCAGCTCCCGCCGCCTTCCTGCAGAAACTGGTTGTACTCATCGATGCTACAACGTGAGAACTTGCGGGGCAGGTAGAACCTAGGCAAGAGTGACCGGACGGTGCCTCTGGCTGCTCCCCTCCAGACCCACCCTTAAGCCCTCTCAAGATTGAGGGACAGGTCACCCTCACGAGGAGCCTGAAGATCTGCCTTGAGACTGCACACTCCCGCCGGTCTATCAAGGCACCGGCAGAGGACGTCGCTCCGGTCTCCTTCGCCAAACCTAGCGCTGGAGCGATCGGAGGGAAGGTGGCCTCCAAGCGAGGCTTGGGCGCCACCCAGTGGTGGCAGTGCGCACTACAGCCTGGCTAGTTTGGGAGTCCTAGCAGGGAAATCTGGGTCTCCCTTTGTGGTGTTTGCAGAAAACTGGGTGTCTTGGAATCCCGAGTGGTCCTGAGAGCTGGGTCCCTTGAGGCTACCAGGTCCAGCCTGCCATACAGTGCTCTCTAGGATGCCCTTTGCCCAAGACTGCCCCCTCCCCATTTTGTCCCCAAGAACTCACCCTGTGTCCTCCATGATGCACCCCAGCCAGAGGTCTGGACACTTGCAGTCCCCTGCAAGTCAGCCAGGTGGGTGTGAGGGAGGGTTAGGGCCGCCCCCTCTCACCTACCCCCTCCTCACTTCTAGAGGCTGGTATGGGTCTGGGCGTGTGGCTGGGCCACGTGGGTCTCCCAGGGCGGGCACCTGCAGAGCTCCGGTGCTTGTTCCACATCATGCCCAGGTTCTGCCCCAGCGTCTGGGCCAGGGTCACCGCCATGGCCCCCATGTTGCCGTACTGGGGTTGGAAGATGGAGACGGCTTCGTCTTCCCTTCTGGCAGAAGGGTGCTTTTGCAGCCCTCTCTCTCAGCCCCCCACGCAGCCATGGCCTCGCCTCTCACCTCGTTCACACCCCCACCCCGGGACAGCGAGCAGATTCCTCCCACGTAGGCTGCCCCGCTGCTGGCGCTCTGGAATGTCCTGCCCCTGGAAGGGAAAGGGACATCAGGACACCCTCCTCTTTCCCCTGCTCTGAGGTGGGCTGGGGGACCTTGACACCAGAGTCCCACCTTGCCCTTCCTGTCAGCCCATGTGGCCTCAGGCAAGCCCCTTCCCCTCTCTGGTTCTTTTGCTCCTAAGCCAAGCCAGAGGGTCCTCTAGTTACAAAGTCCTTCCGTCCAGTCTTTCCCTCTCAGGGAACTGGGTCCCTAAGAAAGGGATGCTGGGACACTTTGAAAGGGGAAGAGGGGACTAAGGAGAGGCACGGAGCAGAAGACCACCAGCAAAGGGCATCAGCCAAAGAGGGAGGGGTGGCTGGGGGTAGGTGGCAGGTGCTAGGTAACCCCAAGCCCCGCAGCAGCGGGTGGGGGCTGGCAGGACGTGCAGGGCGGAGACTCACGAGAAGAGGTGGGTGGCATCGCTGGGCTCAGGCAGACCTTCCCGCCGGTAGACCATGAGCCGGGCCAGGGTCTCCAGCAGGTCATCCTGCACCTGGATCTTGTCCCCATCTGCCCATGTTTCCATGGCAACCAGCACAATGCGGGTGTTGAGCTGCTCCTTGTATATCTGGGCCCGAAGGAGAGAAGAAGAGCTGGAGGGTGGGAGTAGATGTGGGGGGACAGGACTGGGGAGGACCTCTGTCTGTCCCTCCAGGAAGTGGGGATCAAAAGCTGACAGTGGCTGGGTGTGCCAAGAGGGGTGGGTGGTGAGGGAGCGAAGGGAGAGCTGCTCACCACGTCTGCCAGGTTCACCACGGACTTGGCAAAGTTGCTGGTGAGGACCACCGACTGCCGCATCTGCTCGAACTAGGGGAAAGAGCGGGAGGAGGGCGTGGCTTCTTCAGGGTCCCTCCTCTCAGGGTCACCCCTGTCCTGGGGACTCACCAGCTGGTGGTCGTTGATCACGATCAGCTCCACATACTTGGTCTCACTGTGCACTGTAGGGTGGCCCCGGCGGACCTGGGGGTGGGGGGCACTTGGAATCGGTCCCCTCCAGGTCTGGCCTCAGCCATGCAACAGACAGACCTGGCGGGGGTCTGGACTCCAGTCAGGGACAGGGCCAGCCGCCCACCTGCAGAGGGTCCTAGCCCTCCCAGCCCTGGAACACGGGCAGGCAGCCTCAGTGGGCCTGCTGGGACCTGTGCAGACACCCGTGTTAGGAAGGGAGGCCTCCCACAGAGGGTCCCTGCCCCCAGCCACAGCAGTCTGCCCCTCATTTGCCCCGGCCTCGTCCTGCTCCGGACCACAGGCCGAGGTCTCTGCAGCCCGAGGTCTGCGCGGGCCCCATACCTGCCTTTTCCTTCTCAGCCTCGGCCGGCTGGGAGGAGCAGAATCAGCAGGGGCAGTGAACAGGCAGCCTGTGGGGAGGGGCCGGTGAGGGGGGCCCAGCCGGCACCCCCCCCAGCCCCACGTTCCCTCCCTTACCTGGCTCCCTGCATCCGAGGGGGACTGGGAGGAGAGGGGTCCGGTAAATGAGGTGGGGAAGGGGTCCCTGCAATGAGGGGGAGTTAGTTCTTGGGGGGCCAACCAGGTCTGCTCTGGGCAGTTGGGGCAGCTCCGGCCCTCCCCTGACCCCACCCTGGAATGACCCTGAACTGGCCCAAGGTCCCATGTCGGATCTCATCTCCCAGATGCTCAGATTCCAGGGTCAAGACCTGGGGGTGCCCCAAGAGGCAGGGGCAAAGGACACTGGAGCCCAGTGGGAGGTCACCTGGGGGACACTGGAGCTGGGGGGACAGGAAGAGGGAACCAGAGCTGGGGTTGCTGCGGAGGGCAGTGAGGCTGAGGTTACTGAGGGAGGAGGGGGCGGTGGCAAGGAGAGCTGTTGAGACAGGCAGGGCAGGGCCATCAGCGTGGGGCTGTGCAGGGCTTACCTGAGGGGCTCCCCACGGGCCAGCCATCTCCTGGGGCTCCACAATGTAGGTTAGGTTCCCGTCAGAGAATACCCCACTGTGAAGAGAGAGGAGCGGCTCCCACCACCCCCAGGCCCGCTGAGGCCAGTCCCTGCACCCAGCCGCCCCCTACTCACTGCAGCCCCTGGCAGGTGGAGATGGCGGCGAAGGAGCGTGGGTTCCCCCGGAGTTTGCCCTGGTAGTAGCAGTGGTCTCCAGCCCCCTGGGGAGAGCAGGCCAGAGAGCAGAGCATGGCCCAGCCCTGACGGAAGGCGGGGAGGGGCGGAGGCCGGCAGCAGCTGCCCTGGGTGCACCAGGAGCCCTGGAGCTGCTTTACCGGCTGTCACTGAGGCAGGTTCCTAACTCTCCTAACATCGCCTGGCCTATAAAGTGAGGACGCGGGACCTGCTGCGTGCCGGCCACTGCGGACCCCTGCCCACATAGTATCTCGTTTCACCGAATGACAGGGACTCACCCCCACAACACACTCACTGCCACGCACTGGCCCTGGAGACCGCCCAGACCGAGGCTGAGGAGCTGTGAGCAGCATGTGTCCTCGCCAGGCTCTGGGTCAGAGGGGACCACGGCACCCCTCCCCTGACCGCTTCCTGCAGAATTACTCGTGCTCCAGTTACTGAATGGGCTGGGGGAGGGGGCCAGGCTATTTATAGACACTCATTCATCTTTGTTCAGCCTCCAGCGCCTCCAGGACTGGGACCCTGGTGTCCCAGCTGCAGGAATTCCCAGGGCCTTGGTACTGAGCAAGGGGGCATTTCCTCAATGCCATGTCCCAGAAGTGTGGGAAGGGGTGGTTCCTGCCCAAGCTGGCAAGGGACAATGAGGGCCCTTGTGCACCACACGTAAGGCACACAGGCTGGGAATGAGACTCCTGGGGCCGGGCCAAGCGAACACAGGGCCCCGCCATGCCCCTGTTCACCCCAACTGCCACCGCGGATCCTGGAGCCTCCGTGGTGCGAGAGTGGGAAGGCCCAGGGTCTGAGGGGCCAGGCTCAGCTCCACCAGCCATAGGTCCCCACATCTTTGACCACTCCACCTCCCCTGCCCCTTCCAAAGGCTCTCACGGTGCTGTGCTGGGTGGTCCCCTCGGGGCTGAAGTGGCGCTCCACGTACTGTGAAGACAGGAGGTGACTGAGGAGGAAGCAGGGGCCGTGGGTCAGGATCCAGGTCCTTGCCTCAGCCCGGCCCCAGCCCGGGCCATCCAGGCCATGCCTTGGCCTCCCCCGCAGCCCTGCCTCCGGCCCACACTCACTGGTTCAGCTCCAGGTCCAGGGTGAAGTTGGAGTTGAAGGCTGGGATCACGAAGCTCACCTGGGCCAGGTGGACGGGCTGGGGGGGAGGCAGAGGAGAGTCAGTCTGAGGGGCTTAAAGGTGGGGATCGGGGAGACTCAGGGCAGAGACTAGCCCTGGGGTGAGGAAGGCCTTGCCCGCTGGGGAAGATGCTTTGCTCAAGCTCCTCTTCCTCCCTGACCCTGCTCCTCCCAGGCCCTGGCCTGCCTCTGCTGTGTGCAGAGCCCCACCCTGGGGGAATAGGAGGCCGGGGAAGGATCCTGTGGGAGAACGGGAGATGGAGCAGGCCCGTTCCTGGCCCCCTACCCGGACCGATCTCCTCGGACTGTGCAGACGGAGTGGGGAGCAGGGCGGACTCCATCCCTTTGCCCCAGAAGCTGGAGCAACAGGCAGGGGCCACCCTGTCAGGAGGAAGGGACTTTGGTCCTCTGGCCCCAAATCCATTGCCCTCTGTCTTGACCAAAAGAGCTCATCTTTAATATTTCAGTCCCATGGTTAATTTTTAAACACGGAAGTTTTCCTGATGAATTTTTCAGAGGGGCCTGTGCAGTGGGGCTGGGAGGCTCCAGGTTGCCACGGCAACATACCAGGCCTGAGCAAGATGACTGCCCTTGCAGGCCTGGGTGCCCAGTCTCTGTGGGCTAATGGAGACCTCAAACCCCAGGCCTATATTCCTAGGAGGGCAGAGTGGCCCAGAGAGAAGAGGGCATGGAGTCCAGGTGAGGGCGAGGCAGCCTTTTCAGGTTCTGAGCCACGGGAGCCATAGGGACACACCTCGAGGCTCCCATTCATCCTAAACGGGATGCACAGAACGGCTGGGAGGATTCCAGGTGCAGCCTTCTTCCCACTCCTCCCTCCCACCCATTTAAGAAAACTGAACAGAGACCAGACGATAGCGTGATGGTTATGTTGCTGGGCTTTCATGTAGCCGACTGCGGTTCAAGCCCCGATCTGGCGGGTTAAAACTCACACTGGGCACAAGTGTGTGTGTGTCCAAAATCCCGAGAGAAGAATGGAGGAGAAGGAATTGCGGCGTGGCCATCCCCCCTGGGGGGTGATTTCTCGCTTTCTGTCTCTCTCTGTCTTTCTAGCAAGTGCACACACCCTATAGCAAAAACCTCTCTGAAAAAAAAGACTAAACACCCATGGGGTTCGCAGGTGGCGTGGTAGTTAAGGTATTTGACTCCCACATGGCCGACCGTAGTTCGAATTCCAGACCTGGTGGCTTGCTTTCTTTCTTTCTTTCTTTCTTTCTTTCTTTCTTTCTTTCTTCTTTCTTTTTAAGAGAGATTTTTGCTATAAGGCAGGTGCATTCACTAGAGAGACAGGAAACAAGAAATCACTCCCAGGAGGATGGCCATGCCACAGTCTCTGCTCCCTTTTCTCGGGATTTTGGGCACATATACCCAGTATGAGTTTTAGGTCACTGAGTCTGGGACTTGAACCATGGTTGACTATGTGGGAGTCCAGCAACATAACCATTATGCCATCTGCCAGTCCCCTATTTTTTTAAAAGAATTATTTCCTTTATTTTATTTATCATTATTGTTATTTTCAATTTGACCAGAGTGAGACAGAGTGAGAGAAAGGAAGCCACTGGGTCTGGGATTCAAACCATGTTCAGCCATGCAGGAGTCCAGTGCCCTTAACCATGCCACCTGCCGGTCCCTACTTTCTCATTTTTCCTCTCTTTCTCTCTGTGTCTCTGGTCAAATTTAAAAAATAATAATACTAAATGAAATTAAATAAAATTTTTAAAAAGACTGAACACCTGGTATTGGTGAGTGTTGCCCCATTGTCTAGCACACTGGGGGCTTTGTTTGCTACCGTACTTCAGTGGTAGGGGGGCAGACTGCAGGAAGGAAGGGGGCCCCATGGTCAGGTCATGGCCCCAGAGCATGCTGTCTGGCTGGCTTTCTCTGTGGCCACCTGGTCATCCCCTGTCTTACTGCGTGCTCCTCACACACTGGGCGCTGGTCTGAGCACTGCAGGAACTTCCGAGGTGCATGGGAAATGGGTGTCATGGAAAATGTGTGGATCAAAATCCTCTTTGCATCAGATTAAACTCGTACTTTAATTCCATTTCTCTGTGAACTTTATTTACTTATTTATTTATTTTGGAGAGGTTTTTGCTATAGGGCGCATGTACTTGCCAGCAAGACAGAGAGAGGCAGAAAGCAAGAAATCATCCCCCAGGGGAGATGGCCACACCACAGTCCCTTCTCCTCCATTCTCCTCTCGGGATCTTGGGCATGCACGCACACGTGCCCAATGTGAGTTTAAGCCACCGGGTCTAGGACTCGAATCGCAGTCAGCTGCATGGGAGTCCAGCGACATAGCCATTATGCCAACTGCTGGTTCCCAGGAGTCTAGCATTTAATCACCATGCCACCTGCTGGCCCCCTTCAGGAACTTTTTTGAAGTCCTTCCCATGATCATATATGATCTTTACAACACCCTTAGGGGTAGATGCTACCGTTATTTTCATCTGACATACGGGAAAAGTCAGCACAGAAAGGCTAACCTACCTAAGGTCACACAGCTAAAAGGTGGTGGTGGAGCTGGGACTCGAACCTCGGGAGCTGCTCCCAGAGCGTTCTCACCCAAACGACGAAGTAAAAGGGAAGTGGACCCAGTGACCACGAGAGGCTCCTGGAGAGGGGTGAGGTGAAACAAAGGGTCAGAGCTCAGCTAGATAGACCTCGGCGCCTCAAGGGCATTGAGTCACCCCATCCCAGGCTCACCGAGGCTCCAAGCTCCACCCTGAGCCCCTGGAGCATCGATCAGACTGGAAATAGAAAGTCAAGGACAGGGAGTCCCTGCTTCCCTCTCCCCGCCCCTCGGCCTGGCCCCGCCTGGACCTTCCCTCTCCTCCCTCAGAACGTCCCTGCTAATTCTACCTGCACCCCACAAAGCCCCCTCTGGTGCCCAGAGGAGCAGCCTGTCCAGGTCCCTCGCCCTGATTTCTCTCTCTCTCTCAAGCTGTGCAGCCTCAAGGATGACCCAGCAGCCTCTCTGAGCTTCAGAGTTTCCACCGAAAATGGGCAGATGAGCCCAGATGGGAGGCTGGGAGGCTGGCTGTCTGGTGGGGGTCCTCCTGGGCTTAGAGGGTTCCAGTGGAGTCTGTAAGCCCAGGCATTTACAGCAGCACCCCCTCCCTCACCCCAGCAGGCAGTAAACTGACCCATCTGCCTCCCTCCCCTCTGCGGAGGCCAGGCTAACTCCCACACTGGGGAGGCCCAGACACCCCAGGGCCCTCTTTGCCCACCCTCTCCTGCAGCCTGTGAGCCCCCGTCCCTCCCCTGGCTGATGAGGCTGAATTGTGGGGATACGCTGCCCTGCTGACCAGGTGGACTGGGCTGGGGAGGAGTCCCCCAAAAGCAGTGTGGGGAGGAGGAGAGACACCAGATATGCAGGTGTGTTTGCCCAGCTGGGCCGATGTGGGGACGCAGGCCTGCATGCGGTGTGCGGGAAGAGCTGGTCAGGCACCCACGTCTCTGTCCCCGGGACCCTGAATCCTAGCTGCCTGGAGAAGACGCACCTGCTGAAACCAGCCAGACCGCCAGGCTCTAGGACAATGCTCTATCCAAACCAAACTACTCTCCACACCTGGCCCCGCCGCAGGGCCCTGACCTCGTCCCATTACCCTCGGTCCCTGGGGCCCTTCAGTCTTGAGGTCACGCCAGTCCTCCGGCTGCTCTGACCCCGTGCCCGGCTCAGCACTGCTTGTGACCAGCCGGCCGCAACCCTGTGCCCTCTGCTGCCGCTGCCTCCCCGGCGGCCCGCTCTCACATGCTCCAGCTCAATTTGACCTCAACCCGCCCAGGTTGCCGGTCCTCACTTTACAAATGCCAGGCCGAGGCTTGGGGAGAGACACTTGGAGGTGACCCCCAGGGTCACACCAGGGAA